ACTCTCTCTCTCTCTCTCTCTCTCTCTCTCTCTCTCTCTCTCTCTCTCTCTCTCTCCCTCTATCTTCTGTGTGTGTGTGTGTGCATGGTACAAATTCTAGGGACCTTATATCTTAGAGTGGGCTTTTTCTACTCATTCTTCTTTCCAAAAGACACAGCAGTCATACTGCAAGTAGCACGGATCTCAGAAATCTTCAGTCTTTGTCTCAGTTTAGCGTAAATTATGAAAGGAAGCGTAGCTGAAGGCCGAGCTTTCTGGCATCAGACAGGGAGTCTGAGCCTGGAGCAGGTGTGGCAGTCGCTCAGATTCTTTGTTTTTTTCGGGTCAGGTTGGCATATTTCTAGCCTAGAGCTTCGAGCAAATGTTTAAATTTCATTTTCAGCCGTCTTAGTTCCTTGCCCCAGCATCAAAGGCAGGCCCCTGCATGCTGCCCTCCTAGATCCTCTGTCTTCGCCCCGGGGCTGATGGGATACAAGAGACGGGAGGAGAGGAGAAAGAAGGAGCTGGGCGGGTGCTTTACATATCTTCCTAGGAGCCGCTTCTCCTGCATATCATATTCATCCTCCTCACTCACTCTTTTCTAAGGGCTTGCTTTGCCCCAGCACTGAGTATTGGACTTGTTTATGCAGCTCATCAGTGGCCCTTTGCGGTTGCTATAGCAACCACCAGGGGTCAGTTTATAAAGGGGGAGGAAGTCCGCTGTTGGGGAGGCAGATTTCCAGCTTCTGTGCAAAGCACAGGCAGAAAACAAAAGCCCAAATAACCCCGGAGGAAACACCCGGGAAAGCTTTCTACCAGCCTAAGCATCGTGCTGGACCTGAAGAGTCACGAATCGCTGCCACATTTCTGCCCTGCAGAAAGACCATTCCAGAACAGCTGGTGGGAGCAAGACTCACCCTTACATTCCCCAGATTACTCTCTCTTTCCTTCTCCTCCTGCCCTTTGCCTTAATGGCCTAAAAGCATCTGTGAGTGAACTTTCTGGCAAGCAATTATGCGTTAACTGAAAACCAGAGGCTACAAATGCTGTTACTTCCATCTTTCTCGTAGAGACAGAGGCAGCATGTCATTGAAACGACATAAAATAAATAGATGAATCATATATTTTTTATTTTTTATTTTATTTTATTTATTTTTTAAAATTTATTTATTGTATGTAAATACACTGTAGCTGTCTTCAGACACCCCATAAGAGGGCATCAGATCTCATTACAGATAAGGTTGTGAGCCACCATGTGGTTGCTGGGATTTGAACTCATGACCTCCGGAAGACCAGTCAGTGGACTTAACCACTGAGCCATCTCACCAGCCCCCCCATATTTTTTTAAAAAAAGAATGGAATCAGATTTAGGCCAAACTTATCAATTTGACACAATGAGTTACAAACACAAAGAAAAATGAGTGTATCTTTGTATGTATCCTATATAATATTTGGGACACACATAGGCCAAGGCTATTCAACTTACTGGACTCTAGTCTAACTTTCCTCCTTATAGCCATGGAATGACAGAAACACCAGAGATCTTTGTTCCAAGCAAGGAAAGCATATTTTACCTTTTGGAGTATTCCAGACTCTTGCATCATCCTATTGACTGAGAACAAAATGGATGGACATGATTTACATATATGCAAATCACAAACCTTGTCGCAGATAGATGACATCACTAATCTTTCCTCAGCTCTTTGCACTGCATTTTCTGAGGGATCATTGAGTCCTATTTTTTAACTACTAGTTTAAAAGTCATCTGTTCTAAACGATAATGGATTTTACTTTTCTTGACAGGAAAAGTATTTTATGGGCATGTGGTAAGGAATAAATAGCTTAATGAGCATCCCACTAGGGAAGTCTGAGTGAAGAACAGCGCCCTGGAGAGGCTATAGAAGGCCAGACAGAGCATCTGACTCCTAGAGGTGGAACTGCAGGAGGCTGTGATCTGCCTGACATGGGTACCAGGAACTGAACTCACATACTCTGGAAGAGCAATAGGTCTCCTCAATCTCAGAGCTTCTCTCCGAACTGCCCTTCCCTATCCTTCAAGTTTATTTTCATTTTGTTTTGTGTGTTTCTGAGAGAGACAGGATTTCACTATGTAGCCCAGGCTGGCCTTGAAACTCACTATGTAGCCCAGGCTAGCCTTAACCTCATGATCATTTTACTTCTGCCTCATCAGGCTTGCCTTCTCAATGTGTGCTAAGAAACGCTGCCTGCTTCTTCACCAAGAAGACTGGCTCAGTGAGGATTTAAAAATTTTGTAGAAAACCTAAATCATGAGCCGAAATGCAGCACATTAACCTGCTGTAGCTCTGCATCAGTTTTGACCCTACATCCACACAATTAAGGCAAATAAATCCAAAAGTGGGCTGGGAGCACATCTTGGTACTAGGGTGTGAGCTCAGCTCATGCAAGGCTTGGGCTTGGGCCTCGGTACCTAGGTAAAACAACAACAAAGCAAAACAAAACAACACAACAACAACAAAACCAACCCCCCCCAAAAAACGAGAAATCAAGAACCACAAAGGTACCTGAGAAGCCACCATAATCTATCCTATCAGACTCCTCACTGTCCCCCACCCCCAGTTCCGCCTCCCCACCCCCCTCCCCCACTGTGAACTCACACTGTCTAGGTTCTCAGAGCTCTAACGAAAGGCCGGTAATTAAAGAAAAACTGTCAAGATAAACATCATGTACAATCAAAACATTCCCACCTGATACTAACTCTAAAAGTGTCAATAGATATTTTTTTTTCACCAAGTAAACAAGGAGTGTTGTTTTAGAAGTTGGGGCTGTGGGTTCGAATTTCATCTGCCTGATCCTGTCAAAGCCCACCGGCTTTGCAGTCCGTACTGTTAACTGTTAAGCGCTCCTTGCCCCAGCTGAGGGGTGTTGTAAGCACATCTGTAAACCACACAGAGCTGCTCAGACAAAGGGCAGGGAAGTATGAAATGAGATTATTTGTGCTATTCACTTCTTGGAACAAGCAGCTTGATTCAGGAGTTGGAATCAGTTTTAGTTTGGTCAAAAGCAGTTTGAAAGGACTTATGTTTCTAAACCCTGCATTCATTTTTTTTTAAACAAGCAATTCTTTTCTTCTTCTTTTTTTAATCGTTTGTTAATAAACCCTACATCTGAAGCTCAAGCTGTCAGACACTGTCTATTTAACACCATCCAACAGCTGTTAAATGGGATAATCACCTGTTTATCCTCCTGTCGCTAATTCAAATGCTAATTGCACTCCAGACTCTGGGCTTAGTCTCAAGCCAGACCAGGTGTGCTGCTCTGGGAGCGGCTGCTACTGGGCCATAGGTCCCCATGGATTCATTTCCAGTGGTCAGATAAAACAGGGTAGTTCACGGGCATGCACACGTGCACGCATGCACACGCACACCCACACACGTTGGTCATCACAGTGAAAAATTCGATATGACCCCAATATCAAATTACACTGAGGTAAACAACCACGGAATGTTGTATTATGCAACCATTATAAGGGTGTTTATGATTATGATTAAATAACAAGTGAAAATACTTGCTTTTGTTGAACGGGAGAAGCAGTATGCAAAACTATTACGTGTTAACAAATATGAACAGAAAAAGAAAACGGGCTGGGGCCATAGATCCCTGGAGGATGTGTTGTCTTGCTAGTAAGAGAAATCCCGGATTTCATCCCCAACAGAGACAGCTGGAGGTGGGGGAGTCCAGATGCACAGAATAGTTTTGAAACTAAAAATCAATATTTAAGCTATCAGTTTAAAGTCTTGACTAAGGGGGGAGGGGGAAGCGTTTGCTGCAGAGACGGGAGGATCTGAGTTCAAATTCTCAGCACCCATGTAAAGGTGGTTGTGATTATGCAGTGTGATCTCAGAGATGAGGCAGGCACAGACAGGAGGATTGCTGGGACTTACTGGCTGCCAGTCCAGCTCCAGGTTCAGTGAGAGATCCTGTGGGGGCGGGGGATTAGAGGGGGAGTGATAGCTGAAGATACCGGATAGACTCATCTGACCTCCATACATACATGGACCCAGTACCCATGTGCATACACACATCCCCAAAATATAATAATAATATACATTAAAATAGGAATAAAAATTAAAAATAATATATTGACTAAAAACAAGGACAATTCTAAGCTCCAGAGATGTGTTCCTAGTTTCTGTTCTCTCAGAGTTTGTGTTCTGGAGGCAAAAGACAAAATTCAATAACCTACTATGAAAGGTGTAGTGTTAAGCGATGGTCCTAAGAAAAGATGATCTTACAAAGGATTGTGGGTAGGAGGAACCAGGGACTCTGCTTAAACTCAGATGGAAAAGTAAGCAATGAGAAGCACCAGAGAATGTTGTAGATGGGAGTGGGCTTGGTGTGGTTAAAGAACAGGCGGGAGGAAGCAGGAAGAGAAAGGGGGTTAGGAGCCAAGGTTGGAGATAGGAGGGAACCAAAAGATGCTAAGGAAGAGCATCAAGAAGTAGTAGTTAGTGAGGACTCAGGTGTCATGAGGGGGTTAGGATATGGGAGGACAGCAGAGATGTGGATGGAGGAGCTGGCACAGATGAAGCTAACTGGGGGTGTAGAGGTTGAAGGACACACACAGACACACACACACAGACACACACACACACATACACACACACACTTACGTAAGTCTTGGATTTGGGGCTGCAATAAATGAATCCGTTTGAAGTTCCACTTATCGAACTGGGAATGCCTGGTAAAGGGAGTCTGTGGTGGGAACCTGAACATTCGACATCTTTGATCTTCCATCACTGTGGGGACATCAGGTTTGTAGCTCTGCAGTCAGGATCTCAGGGAGGAATCAGGACTCTAGAACCAGGAGTGATTTGCATGTTGAAGATTGTCATAGTTCATTTCACTCCACTGTAACAAAATACCTGAGACTGGGTAATTTAATTATTGCTATGTCTCCAGAGGCCGGGACATCCAACAGGAAAAGGACCCAACCTGCTAAAAGCCACCTGCTGCACCATCCTAACATGGAGGGCAAAGGGCAAGACCGTGTAAGGAAGACTGAAGAAGCCAAGTCAAGGCTAACGAACCTCCCTTAATAACAACAGTCATCCATTCGTGAGGGCAAAGCCATTGTAAGCTAATGGCCTCATCATTGAAGGCAAGATGGCTCAGTGGGTAAGGGCACTTGCCACCAAGCTTTACAACCTGAGTTTGATTTCCAGAACCCACATGATGGAATAAGAGAATTAACTCATGTCAGCTGTCCTTTGATCTCCACACATTTGTATTCATGAATACATGCACAGATAATAAATGGATTTTTAAAAGTGTAAAAAAAAAGGCCTAAATCTCAGTGCATATACTGGAGATTAGCTCCCAACACAGAAGTTCTGCAGGACACACTTATAAGTACAGCAATGCCACTTAACGTATGGAAATAATCTAGAGAAACTACACAGAGAGAGAAAAGACATCTCAGACATCTCAGACATCTCAGGACAGCATTACAGGGCATGCGCAGGATGAGACATCGAAACAGAAGGAAAGATAAGGGAATATAATGCGCCAGCACCAGGTTTAAGACAGAAGGAACTAAATGGTTTACTGAACCTTACAAAGAGCGAGTAAAGGTCACCACTACCAATTACCAGTAAAAGGAAATCACTACCAATGTTGGCCACCAGGTGGCCGGTACTTACCGTGTACTGGTTCAATGGTAAGAATCCAAAGGAGGAAGTGGGGGGCTGTGACCACAGAGCCCTTGGTGAATGTTCCTGGGAGGAGAGCAAAGATGTGGGCTGTAGTTGGCCTAATTGACCCAAGTGAAGATTCTTTGGGGAAATGGTTCTTAAAGGTCTTGTTTGTTGCAACCTGGATCTTAAACTCTTAAAGAATTGGTGTCCAGCCTGCGGTGCTGTCAGGAAGGGGTGGGGCCTAAAAGGAAGTCTTTAGGTTATCTGTAGTGCATCCTCAAAGGTGCTGATGATTTTCCTTCTGTTTCAAAGCTGATAGAGTGAGAGGTTCTACCATGCTTTTCCACCGTGGTGTGCTCCCTCAACACAGACCCAAATAAACAGCATCAAGCAGTTATGGGCTAAGGCCTCAGCAGCTGTGAGCTGAAATAAACCTTTCTTCTTTATAACTTGTTTTGCCTCAGGTATTTACTATCTGACTGTGTCTAGCAAATACTTTTTAATTTTTTTAAGATTTAAGCCATCTCTTTAGCCCCGAAAACACATTTTAAAACTGTGTCAGATTGATTAAACAGAAAAGAATTTTTACAATATGGTAGAGGAGAAAGAAGGAGAAGAAAGAGATGTCAAAACATCCAGCAATCTAAAGAAAGTGGGACTCAGTGGTTAAGAGCACTGACTGCTCTTCCAGGGTCCTGAGTTCAATTCCCAGCAACCACATGGTAGCTTACAACCATGTGTAATGGGATCAGACACCCTCTTCTGGTGTGTCTGATGAGAGTGACAGTGCACTTACATAAAACAAGAAAGTGGGGCTCAGCCTTCCATGAAAGAAAAAGAAATATGTCACCCATAGTAAAAGAAGAGAAGGCCAGAAGACCCAAGACAGACATTGGTGGCATGAGACATTTGAAGGGCTGAGGAAAGAGGATCTTCTAGGATCGCTTTGATTTTCCTGGTGTGTCATGTAACAAGCCTACCAGCAGAGTGTTCTTAGCCTGGCCACAACCCAGTGAGACCAGCCACACAGAACTCTGTCAATCAGCTTTGTCTACCGACACTAACATTTGAATTCTACGTCCTTTTTGTGTTTGTAAACATTCTTCTTTTAATGTTTTGTTTCAGGCATTTAAAAGTGGAAACGCTGTTCACAGTTCATGGATCAAGTAAAGGCAGGTGCATACCAGCTCACCCCAGAGATCACAGTCTGCTGACCCTATATTAGAGCAGAGTGTGCTAGACGTTTCTGTGGTAAACTGAGAAGTAAGAGAGGGCCTTGGCCAGAGCCTGCTCCCTTAGACAGCACAAGGTGAGAGGCTGAGGTGAGAGGTTGTAGCATAGAGAGGGCTTCTACAGCAGAAACGGGAATGGTGCTAGGCCTTATCGCCTGCCCGCCGGGGTTTGTTTCCTCTCCATACTAGCATTTTCTAACACGTCTTTAAAGACAATGGGTTAACTCTGACATTACATAGACAGAGGAGAAACAATTAGTGCTGTTGTCTCCAGTTGACCCAGTCCTTCATGCTAACCAGGGTGCTGCATACAAGGGCAGCTTTGTGGAGGAACTGAGGCCCGTCTTCCCCCTGAGCATGAAGTCCATCACAGCCAGGACGTTGAAATTCCCATACAGTCGTGTATCATTGTTTGGGATTAAGCAACATTCTGAGTGTGTCTTAATGATAGACATGAAATGCTGAAGTAATAATGTTCTTTGAGAATTCAAGTTTACCTTTAGATTTAAAAGTTAAACAAACAAAAAGAACCCACCCAAATTATTATTATTATTGTTGTTATTATTATTTACATTTTTCGGGGCTTTAAATGAGAGGGAGTAAGTTAACATGTATAAGAATGGATGGAAACTGGAACCACAGGAAATCTCAGAGGCAAAACTAGAGAAACTTTGATTTCCTTGAAGAATAAAGAAATTGATACTGAAGATGAATTCAATTATAAAACCAAATGAAATCAACACAGTATCTATTTGTGGCCAATCTAGAGAATTCTCAAACGTTTAAGCCAGATTGATTTTGTTTTAAAAGCACCATAATTTCTCGAATTCTTTTAAACGATAGATACTGCTTTATTATTTTTTTCAGGGCACATTTACATGTTTAAACTTTTTTTTCTAGTCAATAATTGAAATGGACTCTATTTACCTAAGTGAATAAAACAGGCGAAACATTTGAAAGATCACTCATCAGAACAGTACAGTGTTCTCTTTAGCTCGTTGTCAGATGGGCACATCTGGGTTACACTGCTTTCCGGGTTAGATCTGTCTACGCTGAGTGTCTGGTTTCTTCCAGTGTCACCTTTGTGCCTGCCTCTGCGCACAGCTTTGAAAAGGGCTATGTAGGAAGGAACACTGAGAAGAGTTAATGCCTCCGTTTAAGGCAGCTTAGGGTACACAGAATCACATGATTTAGTAATGACCATCTGGGAGGGCATCCTTCCGGGCCATCCTGCTGACTCAATGATAGGCAAGCTATCTACCCTCCTGAATCTTCCATCTAAACCCTACAACAGGGAAAACAGCTCCTAGCACTCAGGACTGCTTAGGTAGTAACAGGTAGCGTTGATGAGCTCCTGGATGGTGCCTGGGAGGGTGGGTAGATTTTCCTCACTTAGGGACTCTCATCTAAGTTCCCGACTTAAACAGACACATGCCCACAAGGCTCAACAGCCTCTGTACATCACGGTGAAGGGACAAAGCAGGGCACTTGGCACACAGTCAGCACTCAGTAAACATATGGAGGTTGATGAGTTAATTAGCTGGCTAATTAATCAATATAACCAAGGCTCTTCCATAAAAGAACAACACGCTCACAAAGCCGGCCTTCTGTGGAAGTTTTACAGTCTCCCCATTGAGTGAGTCATGTCTAGAGGGCCATGGATTGCTCAAGGAGGAGTGAAAACAGGGCAGAGCCGGGGAGGTGAGCCGTTGGAGGAGGCTGCTCTCTACCATCTCAGCCCGTTTGCCCTTTCCTCCAGTTGGTGTCCCAGCCTTGCTGTATCGGCTGCCCACTGAAGTCTGTATAAAAGGGAGCCTAGCATTCCACGGGATTCCCACCGGCATCCTCCCACCTTTCCCGCTACTCTCCTACCCACACCCCTGCAGCCAGATGACTCAGATTGGGCAATCACTTCACAAGCTTTCCAGAAGCCCTACGCACTGAAACGGGACTGCATTCACAACCGATGTGAGACGAGGAAAGAGCAGCACAAGTTCCAGGCCAGCTTGAGCTACACATCGAGCTTCTGTCTAAAACCAACAAATAAAACTTATCAGTCAAACACATCTTCCAAAATATTGAACGGAGAGGTACCAATACAACTGGTCAATGTCAATGAACTTGGTAGCCTTTGGTAGGGTTTGTAGCAACACTGAGTCATATTCAAAACAAATAAGGAAGTGAGCTGAATGCAAAGCAATGCAGATATTTAAGGGAAAGGAACATGGGAAGCCACACAGAAAGGCAGAAGGAAAGGACAGTTGCTTCAATGTCAAGTTGATCCAGGTCCTGGTATTGGATGCCAGGCCACAGGGATGCCAGACATCTATAGTTGTTGAGTATGAGTATCTACTCTGCTGGTAGAGACATGAGTGTGTATGATACTGGTTGGGCCAACATGCAGACTGTACTGTGAAGACAATCGTTACCAGCCGCATCACGGGTTCTATGTGAAGCTTCACATTCCTGTCTGAGGTACGTCACTAAGCAACAGGGAGAGGAAGCAGAAGTCAAGCTGATTCCGCTAACACTCATCACTGCTCATTCACACTATCTCCTTATCAGTCCAGAACCCAAGCCCTGAGATACTCAGGCCAACGAGGCTGGAATTACAGGCTTCCTTCACTTTCACACAGCCTCATTGGTGTATTCTGCACACTTGATGCTGAGTTACAGCTTCTCCCTTTTTGACTTCCTGGTGCCAGTCTAGGACAGCCCAAGCCTGGCTGTTGGTGGCCATGCCTTCCTCTTCTCATGGTTCTTTCCCTGGTTATGAACTTGATTCTCATGACCATCATGTGAAATGTATGCGTTATTCATTCAGAGACTGCATAGCACATCATGACCAAAAGTATGACACTCTGAAAGTCCAAGTGAAAAACACCTTAAATATACCTGCTCTTAAGAAGAAGTTAGGGGCTGGAGAGATGGCTCAGCAGTTAAGACCACTGACTGCTCTTCCAGAGGTCCTGAGTTCAATTCCCAGCAACCACATGGTAGCTCACAACTATCTGTAATGGGATCTGATGCACTCTTCTGGTGTCTCTGAAGAGAGCAATATGCATTAAATAAATAAATAAATAAATAAATAAATAAATAAATAAATAAATCTTTATAAAAAAGAAGAAGTTAGACCTTCACAAACTCTACAGAGTCCTTTGTTTGCTTGGGAAAGTATTAAGTAAGGCAGTTACAAGTGTTTGCAACCTACCTTCCTGGCAGCTCTGCTAACCCTGGTCCAAAGAAGGAGCAAGCCGAGGGCCCACAGGCAGACTAATAGATGAACCCTGACACATGCTCTCCTGCTGACACATGCTCTCCTGGGCTATCGTTCCTTCTAAAAGAAGAAAGTCTGACTTATGTCACAGTGTACCTTGAAAACATTAAAAAAGAAAAGAAAAAAAAACCGTTAGGGTTTTTTGCTAAAGATCAAATGCTTTATGATTCTGCTTATAAGAAAGAGACCTGAGGAGTCACGTCCACAGAGATTGAAACAAAACGACTGGGTTGCTGGGAATGGGAGAGCAGAATTGGGGGTTCATGGCTAACAGGTGCACACTTAGAGTTTTGTGAAATTCTGAAGGTGGAGAGCCCATCCAGCTATGTATTTGATAATGGTGGGATTGGTCAATTACAGATTGTAGTCATTTAAACACAATTAAGAACAGACTCCATAGGCAGTCCCCTGTGCCTACCCATATTTGTCATTACAACAAGAGAGCTTATTGCTTTAAGTTTATTTTTATAGAATAAGACTCCGATACTTAGGCCATTTGAGAAGGGCTGGGGACCTCCTGCTCTCTTCTCTGAACACCAGACACACTAGCCAAGAAAAACCACAGCCAGGCTAGAATAAGAACAAGGTGGGTTCATTTGTTCCCGACACTCAACATTCCTCTTCCTCCACCTCCTCTTCTCTCTGCTCAGGACTGGCCTAGGGACCAGACTTCTGCCCCAGGGCCGAGGCTAATATCCCTGGCAGGCCTCAGAAAGGAGCTTCCCTCTCCCTGCAGAACTGCTTTGCCTAACTGTCAGGTTTCGGAATGAAAGGAGTTTTGTCTGAGGTGTGTACTGTAAAACCCGACTCATGTGTGAAGATTGTCATGAGTAAAGAGCTTCTACTTGAGTGTGCTTGCATCTCGCAGTGAAAGGAGGAACGTTCTCACCCTATCACCCAATAAAAGTGCACTTAACCGTTTTAATCATTGCCCTTGCTATTGCTTATACGTTGTTCATTCCTTAGTTACTAGAGAGGTTTTATTGCTTTACATAGGAACCATTCCTACATTCACCTGCTTCCTTTGTTAACTAAATGCTCTAGGTTACAGAGGCCTTCTTCTGCTGTCCCTCATCCTGAATAATTAAATAAGGATTCTCAAGTCAGAGTCTCAGGGAACCGGCTGAGGATCAGCGCTCTAGTAGTAAGGATGAGGGCCTCTTGGGCCTGCAGGTCTCAGGTGATTTAGCTGTGCTGTGGTGTTTTGGAGCCTCAGACTTCTGTAGATACAGTGCCCCCTCTCCGCCACATTCCCTAGATGGTTCAACATTGGGTATGGTGATCAATTCATGCAGTTGTAAAAAGAAGCCCCAAATGGCATACCAGGCATCTGGTCGTGGAAATTGCTGCCGTGTATTGGCGCTAGGTTCAGTTCCCCTGGGAAATGTCTAAAGCATCATTTTCTCCCAGATACCTGCTTTAACCTTCCCTCCCTCCAGTCCCCACCCCTTATCTCTAGGGAAGAGTGGAAACCTCGGGGCTGTGACTGTGACGCAGAGCAGCTTACCTTGTGAGGCTACAATGTTTCCATTAAGCAAACTGTGTCGTAACTAGATTTATGTCAACTTGACACACGCTGGGGTTATCCGAAAAAGAGAAGCCTCATTTGAGAAAAATGCCTCTATAAGGTCCAGCTGTCAGGCATTTTCTTAATTAGTGATTGATGGAGGAAGGCCCAGCCCATTGTGAGTGGCTGCCTTAGGCTGGTGGTCCTAGGTCCTAAAAGAAAGCAGGCTGAGTAAGCCATGATATACAAACCAGTAGGCAGCATCCCTCCAGGGCCTCTGCATCAGCTTCTGCCTCCAGGCTCCAGTCCTGCTTGAGTTCCTGTCCTGACTTCCTGATGTAGAAGTGTAAGCTAAATAAACCCTTTCCTCCCCAACTTGCCTTTTGTCATGGTGTTTCATCACAGCAATAGAAACACTATCTAGGGCACTCAGTAACAAATTTGCATTATGTGTCCATGGATAGTAGTTTTTCTGACTTCAAGTTTTATCCAAATGGCGTCTTCTTGATGATGCTGGTATCGGCCACAGCTTCTGAGGTGAAGATCCCATTGTCCCCTTGTTCCTGGACCGATGGGCTGCTTGCTCCAGTCATAGATTGCATTCCTTAGACCAAGACTATAAGACAGAGAAAGGCCTTCAGGAAGATCTAGGAGTCGGTTCAAGGTTGTAGACAGAGAGAGAGAGAGAAAAAAAATGTTGCTGACTGCCACTGAGGCTTCAGGCACTTATGCTGAGTCCTGGGGCTGAGATGCTATCAGAATGCCCCAAATCGAAGAAAGGGGCAGAACCCTGTATCCTCAGGTTAGTCAGACATTACTTAGTCATGAGCCTCGCCCTAGAAGTGTATTATTCTGGCCAAGGAACTGGAGAGCATCTCCGAGTGATAGATGCAGTGGTGAGACAGCAATAGCAAATAATCCCAGAAGCCAGAGATAGAAGTGCTTTTTCCCTGAAGAGGAGTCTGGGCCAAGCACTATGCTGCCCACTATGCCTGTGTTTTTTTCTCTTGCTATTAGCATCTGCCACTTCCCATT